TTGGGAGTCTTTCTCTATAAAGTCGTACTAAATAAATCTTGAACTAACATAATGAAAGAAGTAACTATATAATTGAGCCTGGTATATAAGTATATCTCATGGACTTATATTGCCAAGATATTTTGGGCGGGCATATGTAAATATGTAATGGCACCAAAATGCAATATATGTAGTCAAACGTGACTAATTGACTATATGTGCATATAGAGTCTTTGTTTATACGGTAATTTACTGAATATGGCTACTTTTTGGCCTTTTGCTTTACCGCATTAATGAAACAAATTGTTCAAAGAAAAAAAAAAGAAAGCCTTTTGTCTTAATGATGATTCCTAAAAAATATGTATATGGGTCAATGCTATGAGCTGTAAATGGTGATAATTACACCTTTGGGGGCCCTAGATTTTTCACCTTGATTAGCGATCATATTGGGCCTTTTCTTTAAGCCAATTGATCATTTGTACAATTGTATGTCAATAAGAGTTAGGCAAAATTATTTAACGTTAATCAAAAGCAAAATCTTCAATTTTTGGAGTTAGGCAAAATTATATACATACTCTCTTCATTATTTAATGTTAATCAAAAGCAAAATCTTCAATTTTTTTTGGAGTTAGGCAAAATTTTGCGATATATCTGTGTGGAATAATATTTTTATCTTTTCTCAATATTAAAACATATTTCTTTTCCTTTTTATGTGACTATGGTGTGTCAAAATTAATACTATGTACTCCGTATCCTTTATAATTAGGGGAACATTCGCTAATTTAGCCACTTGTATGTGTACAATCACTTATCATGTTTGCTGCTACGTTTTCTATATATATATACATGTGAAAATGTGTTGTACTTAGAGAGTTAGAGCACACTAGTTATTGATGAGATGAAAATTAGTAGCAAGAGCATTTAGGGTAGGGTGCAAGGGGAAATTAAAATTTACCAATAAATTTACGAAATATTGAAACAATCAAAACACCCACATTTAGAGCTGTCAGTTTTTTACCCGAACCGTTAAACCCGACTGTTTCGAACCGATCCGAAAAGGAACTGAACTGTTTAAAGCCCGTTTTTTGGAAACCGAAAACTGACCCGACTCAATTTTTTCCAACCCGAAATTGAACTGAACCGAATTTGTGCGAACCGTTACTAACCCGACCCGTTATCAAGCCAAGCTGTTACAACCCGAAACTGAAAGCAACCCAAACCGATTACGTTTAAACCCGGTAGTAACCCGACCCGTTTTAAACCGAAAACCGTTAAGAGCCGATAAAAATCCGATAAACCTAAATCGTTCCAACCCGTAACCCGTTGTGACCGAACCGTTTATGACCCGTAACCCGTTGTGATCAAACCGTTTAAAACCCGTAACCCGTTATGACTGAGTCATTTACAACCTGTTACCTAATATGTTTATGATCTAATCTGTTTCAACCCACTACTCGATAGACCCAACTTATTTATGACTTGACTTGATTATAACATGACTCGTTCCTATCCGTTGTCTGACTAATTCGACTCGATAATCATCCGACTCAATTTTAACCCGATATGATTTGATTAGAAACCCGCTTTAAATTGGGTAAACTCGTTTTCAAACCAACCACGTTCAATCTAAACCGCGTATAACCTGAAACGATAATGATTGGACCCGATTTCACCCGATTTGTTTTGAACCGAAACCCATTTTCGAACCGACCCAGTTAAACCCAAACTGATTATGACTCGAACCAATTACGACCCGTCCTGATTACGACCCGAACTGTTTTTAACCGAAACCCACATTAAACGGGCTAAACCCGTTTTCAAACCGACCCGGGTCAACCCAAATTGATTATGACCCGAACCGACTAGAACCTGACCCGATAAGGACCCGGTCCGAATAGAAATTGCAATTAAAAAAACCAAACCGAACTGACCCCGATAATTTTCAAAACCGACCCAAACCGACCCGCTTATTATTTCAACCCGTTATAAATCAATCCGTTATAACCCGAAACTGATAAATCCAACCCAAACCCAAACCGTTAAACCGAATTGACACCCCTACCCACATTTGATGCTTTAAAAACGCAAGAGTACGTACATGCATTGAACAGCCAATGGAAAGCAATAGCATTTGCATTGGCATTTGCATTTGCATGCATTGTAATGTGTGAAGAATTCAAATTTGGGGGTCATTTCATTAACATAAAGATTACCTAAAAGATGATTCAGAATTTCGGTTATCAAAACTTAAAAAGGAATAAAAGTAAAAGGGGTAAAAATGATTAAAATTAAAAACAATGAAAAGCAAAAGTTAATTTAATTTAGTACTCGTACATCATAAGCTTACAAGCTCAAATCCCAATAAAGTTTATAGTGTCACCTAAATGAAAGCGAATTTGGGAAAATAATGACATTGAGATTAACGTTATGCCAAACATAAGGCAGCACTATTTGATAGAAACGACGTAGCTTTTGTCACATTGCTTTGATTCGGTGAATTTGTCATTTTAGTCAAAGTTTTTACAGAAATACGACTATTCATCCTGCTAATAGCGCAACCAGTACGTTACCATTTTACCAATAGTCCTTATTAAAATTTCACAAGGGTGTTTGCTAAATTACTTTCATAATTGTGTTAAATAACTTTAATTACTCCGTTAATTGGGTTTAAATCTCTTTATCCTAAATTCCTAGCTAATATAATTTTGTAATCTCCTACACTAATCAAATTTGCTAATGTAATTATTTAATACTTGTAAATTATTGCATAGTATATCTCAATTGAACAATTCAATAATTATGGTGATTAATCCCATCTCTCATAAATCGATTCTCAAGATTATCCTTAAACTGTTGTAAATCATCATAATATTCCATAGATATCATTTTACTTCAGTACAATCGATTAGACTAAAAGGATAAAAGCAATCATGATCTTATTACAAAGACAATATTCACCAGTTTAAACTTTTAAGAATAATTAGAATGTATACTTCATATGTCTCAAAATATTTGATATAGTCAACTTTGCACACATGTCTAGTTTGATTTTATTTTTTATATAATTAACTATAAAAGAAAATTATTTTTAAAATAATATTATGAAACTTTGTATTAATACCCTTCTAACAATATATTTTATGATAAAATATATTTTTATTATGCTAGTATAAATTATGGTTTAATATATGAAAAGTGAAAAAAAAGTCTCAATTATTTTGGGACAGATTGAGTACTATCCCTCGAATTTATTGGCTTGTTTTTTATGTACGTTTTTTTTTTATTTTTTATTTTTTATTAAACTTATTTTAATAAGGTAAAAAGATCAAATCCTACCTACAAATTTACCTACTTACCAAATTGAATCTATTACTCCATACTCAACAACATATAACAATATAATATTACAAAGACTAGAGAGCTACTTGAATTCTATCACTTTCCGCTAGTAGGCTAATATATAGTACTCGTACAACGTCTAATTTTGTCGAACACACCTTAGCTTATAGGAGAGTACGTGTAGTTGATAGTTGTAGTGGTACATACATAAACTGCAGAAACTAGAAAAAGAGGTGTTTATTGTTTAATATCAAGGAGTCAATAATCTGCAAGAAGAGCAGAAAAAAGTGTGAAATGTGAGTGTTGCATAAAAACATAGGGACCATGTAATGGCATGCAATTAAGGAAAGAGGAAGAATTCCTTGTCTTGCACTTCGTCTTCGTGTTTCCATTGCCCATACTCAGTCCTAAACTGTCATTGTTGGTTCAAATGACAATAACGTATTCCCATGTTCAAACCATAAATATTTTAGGATTTAATTTTTTGAATAGTATTAAAAATTAAACATAAAAAATTATCATTCAAATTTAATTTGTTCCTAGACCAAATACAAGATTGAACCTTTTTTTCCCCCCTCTTATCAATACGAGTACAAGATTGAACGGTTTTAAAATTATAAATAATTACGAGTGATAGAATATTTCTTAGCTCCACGTTGAACATATAAAAGCCTTTAGATTTTGCTATCTATTAACTTTCATCTCTTCATACTTTAACATTATTCTCATATATATATATATATCATTTTTTTAATGAAGTTGTTTGCAAGCCTAATTAACAAGATTAATATGTTCAATAAAACTTAAATTGGATTCCTAGCTAGAGGTATCATTAATTAATACCTACGTAACTACGTTTATACATTATGAAAAATAAAGGGGAAAAGAAATACTGCAGCAACCATAAATTGCAGTAGTCACAATCTCAATAAAAAAAATTATGGAAGAAATCAGAGAAGTAGAAGTTAATGGTGGAATAATTGAACGTAGGTATTAGGCACGTACAACATTTACACCAATCCACCGTATCAGTAATAATAATAACTCATGGAGACCCACTGTAGTTTTACCTTCATCGTAGGCTTGTAACAATGGTACTTGTAATTGGTAATAATGCTTCTAGATGCATAACGATTAATTAATTTTAAGATATCGAGCTTTAATTAATTAGTGAAAATGATTACTCATTTGCTTATGTAGTTACTCAATCTAGTACTCTCTCAATTTTAATTTACTACGAAATATGCAACCATTACATCCCACTCTTATTAACGCTGTAGGAGTAAAATATGTTACAAGTACTTCATAGAAGAATACACATGATCGAGCAAAGAGGTATTATAAGAAAATCGTGAGGGTCCAGATTTGATCATGGTCCTTCTCTTTACTATAAAATAAATAAATAAAAAATTGTGTATTTAAGTCAATATATGATGGTATATTTGTATACACACCTTTTCAGTTATTCATGGTCTCATGGATTATGTCACAAAAGCAAGCCAAAAAAGTATGTTGAACGGCTTGAACCCATTGCTACACGGCTACACCTTTAACAAATTAACGAGTCTTTCTTCTCATTAAGATGAATCAAAACATGATTGCTCACATTAATATTTTGCTATTTAGTGTGGCCACATTTTTGGACTATAATATAGTTTTCGTCATTTCATAAGACCATAAAATTACACCAATTATATAAATATAACCTGAATTTACTAAATTACCAATATCTTATTTTTCTTATGGTATACAAAAGATAGTATACATACAAATACAATACCATACACTTTTTTTTCTTTTTCATCAAACTTCCCTCCAAAAAAATAAAAATCTACCGAAACTAATGGTCCAAAATCTAACCCAAAAACACCCAAATATCAAATTTTAAAAAATAAAATAAAAATTACCAAACTAGTACTACTCAGTGGTCAAGGGCGTTGGGTCCAGTACAATAATTGACGACATGGTTCCAAACCCACTGAATCAAAAACCGCCGTCGGATTCCATTCACATTAAACGTGGCACCATCTCGACCCTCCAACATTTGTCCAGTATAGGACCCACCACCTCCTGTCCCATAAATCCCTTCACAAAGATCCGCAATTTCCACAGGCGCAATCGGGTCAGGCCCCGCATACCAAGCATTGACAAGCGGGTTGGTTACCAACTCCGCTATCTCATGAGCAATGACACTTATCATCCCCTCGACCCCAACGTCTCCGTTGGGGCTTTTAACCGCTTTGAGCCCGGGGATGTACTTGGGTACCGCAAACGGGTACGCACACACCCCCGGGCACAGCTTCGCGCTGTTACCCACCCAAGCGTAGGGTAAAGTATACCCTACGATTGAGGGGAAAGTAAAATAGTGAAACCCACATACTTGCTGACAAAAATCCTGAACGTACACGTCAGGTGACGTCAGCAAGAGGTAAATCCCGTTCTTAGGTGTGATTGGTAGAGGTTTAGTTCTCGCGGTAATAAATGATTTTATTACAGACTGAACTGATAACCGAGTGAGTGATTTACCGTGGGAGTAAAATCTGTCGTTCTTCTCCGAACCAATTCGGACGGTTCTAGAAATATTGGACCCGGTTTGATCGGTGTAGAGCTGAACCGTCTTCCACCACCCTGAAACCGAGGGTGGTGGGACGGATTCATCCGAGATCGAGTTTACGAATTCTCGGATTATCCGCTTCTGGGACGGCTGCCATTTGCCGTACCAGATAATGTGGACAGTGATGTTTGTAGTCATTACCGGCCCCATATGGTACTTAAGGTCGACAAACTCGGATGACCCCTCGAATTTTTTCGAGGGGCCGAACTCTAAATCAGCCGTAGTTTGATGACTACGGCTGATGTTGAGATCGGCATTGGGCCAAGGGCGCCAAGAGAAGGCTGGTTGGGAGGTGAAGAGGAGGAGGAGAGAGAGTGGGATTAGGGGGAGCATTGTGAGGTGGGGAGGAGGAGGAGGAGGAAGTGGGGAGTGAAGAGTGAGAGTGAGTGAGACAAAGAGATGGTATTTATATTGGGTAATTTTTGAAGGGAAATAAATAAATGAAAATGAATTTGAATAATAATTGAGAAAATAGTGTGAGATTAAATTTATGAAAATGTGAAAGAATTGAAGGGGTAGAGGATGGGTTTAATGGATGACAGATGGGTAGTATAAAGTGAGAGAGGGACCTACAGAAATATGATGAATCATAAACATTGTCGTTATTTTATGAAGGGTTGATTATTATCTCTCTGTTTTTATTTTATTGTTGCTTGTTTTGAGCGGGAAATGTGGATGAATTGGATAAGGGTAGTTTCGGAATCTCATTTACTTGATATTTTAAGCTGGGCTTGTGGGTTGTGGCTGCACTAGCCACTTCAAAGTGTCTTGAGACAATATGTCAAATTAAAAGACGTAATACTCCATTCGTTTCACATTACTCTTATAGTCTCAATTTAATTGATTTATTTAATTACTATTTGAGAGAGATTTTTAATTAAAATTAGATAATATCTTCAATGCTAATATCAAAAGTATTAACTTATTATTTTGGATAGATAATAATATAACTATTTCTAAATAAAGTAGTGTAATCTAACATTTTATTTGTAAAAGAGTTGATTACTATCTCAAAATATTTAATAAACCCTACAATCTTAATCCAATTTTTTTTATTAATCGTACAAGAATTTGATGGCTCTCTCCAATCTTTAGTGCTCAACATTTGCCTCTCTTGACCACTACTTGCAACTTGCAACAAAATTTATCCGATTTATTTTGAAAACGGAATCTTATAGTTTTATTGTTTAGCTCCGCTTAAACGCTATTTGCACCCTAATTTATCACTTTTCAAAATTATTTGCAGATATATGTGTTACAAGAATTTAAAAAGAAATACTTTACAAAGTTCGTTACACCTTATTCATGAACACATCCTTATTTGGTATTTCCAATTAATCAATCATCCACTAATAAGGTTACCATACACAGGGCTCTTCGTACATGTATAGTCGTAAACTCTAAGCAAGCAACAAATAGGGCCTCTTACAAGGATTATTGGCAATATAAAGGCAGGACATTCCTTAAAATAAGGGTAGCCCTTAAAAGTTAAAAGTACTTGTGTTTAATATTTTCAAAGATTCCTCTAAGTTTAAGAAGAAAATAATAAGCTAGGGGTCCATTACCATTAATCAAGAGGCCATGCAAAATTACATGCACAAGTTAAAGTTACCCCACTTACATTAACATTGGGTCTCTCCTTTCCTCTCCTTGCTTCCCGCCAAATGCAATTTAAGTTCATTAAATCCAACTAGTCCGTATTATCAAATCAAATCAAATCCGACACATTTTCCATGGTGTAACGCTAATTCTAAGGCCTATAAATGTTCCTCACTTTTCTTCTTTTCATTTATTATTAATGACCTTAATGGTTATTGACTTTAAATTTCTAGTTCTTGCTTGTGGAACGAAGAACGGTTTCGTGGTTAAGTATGTACAACAATATTATTACGAAGATTTATAAAACTATACGTACTATGGGTGTACCTATTACTACCTATATATGTACAATGATATATAGTTGATGAATGAGAAATAATATTGATAAGAATATTCCATGTTCATTTTTCATTTATTCCACAAAGTTTGAAAGACGTGAATGTTTGTGACTAGTGAGGATTTCAAACTTTTTATGGGATGTTGAAAGCTCATGGTTTTATGACATAGGATAAATCAGCTAAGAAGCATGATGTCGGGGTATTAAGGGCTCTTGGTTCGGATGGAGATGAGGGATAAAAAGACCAATGTAAAAATCTACTTTATTTTAATATTGTTATAAATAGCATTGTCCCATTACAATCTAAAAGTTAAGTAGTACTCTGTATATTGCAACGATGTATATTAGCAAATGACAATATTGAGTTTTGGGTATTTGTAGGGTTTGTTCTCTTCAACTTAATTTCAATTATGTTCAATTCAGCTCAGTTCAGGTTAACTCCAATCAGTTTAGTTTAGTTCAGTTTAGTTTCTAATTTTCTTCTCTCATAAACAATTCATTTCAACTCTATTGAGTTAAGTTTAGTTCAGCAATTCTGTTCGGGTCTTCAGTCCGTACTCCATACTTAAATCTAGCATCTAGATTTAATTTATACGTAGTATTCCATTTCTAGGTGAGAATGTGATATAAGTACACCAAATTGAAGATGACTTGGGCCTCGTTTGGTAAAGAGCTTTTTAAAAAGTTTTAGCTTATTGAACACTACTAGAGATTTGACCATTAAAAAAACTAATTTGGGTATTTGGTAAGTAGCTCATTAAGAGAGCTTTTTAGGCCCAAAAAAACTCTTTTAGAAAAGACTTTTTAGGCCCAAAAAGTTCTTTTAGAATACAAATTTTTGCCTAGACTCTAGGGTAGCCAGCTTCTCCTACACCCCCATGCTACTACGTCGTTTTATATTGAACCATTCTGCCATTTTTTTTTCTTCATCTTTTTTCATTTTTGTTAACTTTCTATTCAAGCAACTATATAATGATTTTCTTAACCTAATTTCCATTTTATTTATCTCATATTTTACTTATTTCATTTTCTCTCTCCTGCATTTTTTTTCCCCCAATTTTTCTCTCTCTTCTTCCATGGAAATTTCTAGCTCAATTGCGTTTGATCGTGACAGTGATTCTAGCTTACTTGCTTTTGATCGTGATTGTGATTCTATTTTTTCTGCTGGAGTTGGTTTAGTCGACTCGTTTTCGAAACAATGTGAGTAATTTTTTCCTCAATCATTCGATTTTGATTATGCTCTGTTTTTCGCGTGTAATAGTTCGATTTTGATTTTTGATTTCATAGTTTTTCTAATTGTATGAACTATAGTTTATATAATGCTCAATTATAATTTTTGATTTTATTGTTTAGCTAATTGTTATTGCTTATTGTATGAATTAAAATCAAAATTATGGTCGATTATAATATTTGATTTCATTTTTATTTATGATTATTTTAATTTATAGTTTGTGATGTATTGTTGTGATTTTATTGTTTTTCTTTGTAATGTTGTTATTCGATTGATGTTTTTTTCCAGTTTTCTGCATTTTAATGATTGTCTATAGTTTTATAAAATTTGACATTCAATTAATGCTCATGTATGTTATATTATATGTACATTTACGTTAACATAGGTGTAATTACTGTAATTTACATTTATCTATGTAATCATAAATGTTCATTTATATGTTTTATTATCATTTTGATATATGTTCATTTATGTAATGATAAATGATCATTAACAGTTTACATGTGGTTATTGTACATTATTGCTATTATTTGTGTTCATTTGTTACATTTTAATATTGCAGTGGAAAAAAAGAATGCTATTTTATTTGAGGAAGCAGCTAGTTCTGAATTTTATGGGAAACAATTTCCTTCTGAAGATGTGGCTTATGAAATGTTTAATGAATATGCATTTAGAAAGGGCTTTGGAATTAGAATTGGAAAAAGTAAGAGGCGAAGAGATGATTCATTCTCTATGAAAAGATTTGTTTGTACAAATGAGGGTTTTAAAGATGATAAGTGCAGGAATAATAGGTTGTATGAGAGACTTAACATAAGGACTGGTTGCTTAGCTTTTGTGCAGTTTAGTATTGACCGTTCAGGTGTATATACATGTACAAGACATGAGATGGTTCATAAGGAAAAGGTACTTCTGCTTTATACTTGTTTAGCTTCTTAAATAATTTTTACAGAAATGAACATTTAGTTTTTTATAAATGTTTATTTATAATGATCATAACTGTTATGCTTAATGATCATGTTTCATTTACAGAATGTTGTTGAAATATGACTGTGCAAATGTTGATTGGTTGAATGATTTGTATAAAATCAAGGAGATGTGGTGTCCAGCTTTTTCAAAGAAATTTTGGTCAGGAGGTGTGCTTTCATCTCAACGTAGTGAGACAACTAACAAATCAGTTTCTCAAAGGCTTAACAAGACACAAGGTCTATGTGATTTCTGTCAAGTGTTTCTCGATGTGGTTCAAGAGTGGAGAAGCAAAGAAAAAGGGAGAGATTATAATACAATCAGAGGTAATCGTCATTTGGCTTTTGCATACATTGGGATTCTTGTTCATGCTAGATCATTGTATACTATTCAAGCTTATGTGCTTTTTGAGGAAGAGTTCATTAAGGGTACTGCTTGTGATCATAAGGATGCTGGTGTGAATTTTCCTGAATATTATTATCATTTGTGGAGACCTGGGAAAGATATGATCAAGCACGAGGTTGTTTTTAATAAAGAAACACGTGCAATATGTTGTACATGCATGTTGTTTAGTGAAATGGGTTTGCTTTGTTGTCATGCTCTTTGAATTTATCATATGAATTGTGTTCATAAGATTCCAGATGACTATATATGTAAGAGGTGGACTAAGGCTGCTATGTGTAGTCATGGCCTTGATGAACCTACAATGAAAACCAATGTAGTATCTACAAGTGTTTGGAGGACACAAACACTAAGGAAATTTGTTAAGTTGGTAACAAGTTGTCAACACTCTTTGAATGCTAGAGCAGAGGTTGAATGTTATTTCAATCTTTTAAAATAAAAGATTGAGAGTGTTACTGGTACTATTGATTTTAATGAACCGGTTGAAGGTATTGAAATTGTTGATCATGAAGTTAAGAATCCGGCAAAATCAAGACCTATTGGAGAGAGGAATTATAGGCCTAAGAGTAATTTAGAGAAGGCTTATAACAAAGCCAGGGGTCAGTGGTTGAAGAAAAAGTCAGTATACACTCCTTATAAAAGATCTAAAGGTCAAGCAGTAGTTCAGGTAATAATGCACATTTATGTTTTTGTTATTGATCATTTATGTTCAAGAATTGAACATTTTTGTTTTGCCTTAGGAGTTGGACGAGAATGGGTGTCCTATATCTTATGCTAATTCTTTGGCTGATCCTAATGAGTTAATTGTGATTGAAGATCCAAGTGCTCAGGTAAAAACTTATTTTCTTTTTTTTTATCTGTTTTTATCAAATTCTTTAGAATATTAAACATTTTTACTTTTAATTTTTTTTCAAGGTTTGTAATAAAAAGACTGCCATTGTAGAAGATATCCCTTCAGATGATAGTGTTTCAAATGACTTTGAACAGGTATTATGTAAATGATTATGTATGTAATTGTAGTTGTTCATTTTAGTAGTTTAAGTTGTGATTATAATGTTTTTATAATTTTCATTTTATTATAGGAATATGGATATAGCTCTATGCAATCAAACGTTACTGTTGATCCAGACATATCTTCTATTGTTAAGGTGAAATATTAATCATCTACCTTTTAATTTTGTATAAGGTCATTATGAATTTTGAATTTGATCATTAATTATTTTAATTTTGATCATTAGGGTAAAACAGCTGCAATTGCTCATGATGTTGATAATTTTCCAACAAGTTCTCAATTGCCACCAAAGAAACCAAGAAATGTACAATTTCCCACAGTTGTGCATGCTCAAATCAATGCTCAAGCTCCTTCTAAAGTTTCTAGCATTGTTCAAAATCCTCCAAAAGCTCCAAGAAATGTTCAAGTTCATTCTAGTGTTCCGAAGAAAGTTCAAGCTCCTTCTAATGTTCCAAGAAGTCCTCTTTGCTGTTTTCGGAATGTTCAAGTTGATTCTAGTATTTCAAGAAATGTGCATGATGTTCCTAATGTTCCAAGAAGTACTCAAGAAAATTCAAGGAATGTGCAAGTTTCTCCTAGTGTTTCAAGGAATGTTCTACTTTCTCCTAGTGTTTCAATGAATGTTCAAGGATCTCCTACTGTTTCAAGAAGTACTCAAGGAGGTTCTCCACAGATTTCAACCAAATATGATAGGTTATTAGCGTTTTTTGATACTAGTGTGGCTAAGAGATTGGCTACAAATGGTAAATAAGAGAGTAAATCAATATGCAATTATGTTTTGGTGTTTAACTATCAACATTTTTAGTTGTCTCAACTTTATAGAGATTCAAGTGCTTTAAGTTTTTTATATTTTGATTTATTAAGTAATTTGAATCTTTTTTTTTCAAACTATTCTTAAATGTTCTATAAATGATTATTTTTGCTTTTGGAAGTGATCATATACTATTTTAAATAGTAAGAACCATTATTAAATTGGAATAATTATATTAGATGATTTAAAACTGGCAATTATAATGTAACACTTTACTATTTGTAAATATTAAAAAGATAATAAATTTTGTCTTTACTTGAACAACAACAAAAACTTATGTCCATACAAATACTGAAAGCAAGTATGATCATATATATGTCTATATATGAACATATTGTATTAAGCTTGTGCAAATCTTCTTGCTGCTCTTCTATTGTTCTGTGACTGCATGTTTCCTTCATTCAGCATTAATTCAGCAATGTATTGTACTCTGAGCTTTTTGATTTGGTTCACCTGTTCCAAGAAAATAATTTATTATAAACATGAACATTAATGGGATATAAATGATCATTATGTATTATAAAGTGATCATGAAGTATATTTTTTGTTTTGTTGAAATTTACTTACATTGTTTGGTTTTAGGTCACAAACCCATTCTTCATTGGGATCAGCAGTGAAAGTTTCCATATGTTTCATAATGTAAACTCCACAGTTGGTGTAATCTTCGTTGCTCCTCCACTTCATTTTTTGCAAAACCACCTTATATTTCTCAATAGAATCTGCATCTTCATACCCCAACCTTTTCAAATATTCTGCATATCCTTTTAACTGCAACATATACAGAAAAAAAAATTCAAAGGATCATATTAATATTGATCATTTTAATTTTCAATATTGATCATTTTGTATAAACAAATTGATCATTTATATATCTATTAAACAATATACTTACCACCAATTGGGGTTGGTTTTCATACTTTGTTGCAATTGTTTGATGTTTTGGCAGTTTCCTGTTGTCAATTATATGCATTGTCTCATTGATATGATCAATGCATAGAAGATAGAAATGTGCATATATGGCCACTGGAAAAAAAATCTGTACATAGTACACAATATTATTATTATATATACACATTAATGTAAATGAACATATTATAATTCCATATTGTTCATTAATACCTGTTGATATCCAACTGCACTCTTGATTTTGTATAACCTCAATTCATTTGTTATTCTTTCTTTGAAGTATGCCATTCTAAGCTCCATTGATGATCCTTCAGGACACACTGTATTTGCATACATAATTTGCTGCAAATAATGCACAAGGATCATTTTAATATTCATAATGATCATCTAGTATAAGTGAATTGATCATTTTAGTACACCGATGTATACATGTGTAATTTCAATAAAGACTTACATGTGGAAATGTTGAAAAGTATAACTTGTTCTTTGACCTTTTTTGATTCAGAAGTACTGCCCATGAATCGATCACATTGTTAACTACTAATGTATCCCCTTCAAGAGTTTTCATCTCTTCCCTATTGATCGAATTCACTCCATCATAGTATAGTAGCTCACTGCAAAATATCAAATTTTTAAATTTTATGAGTTTACAACAAATATAATGTTAAAGTTTTAATGAAGTAAGTGATGTATACCTTTGATCTTTTCCACTATAAGCATAGTCTGTTACAAGTTTGTTCATTGTGTCTTCATCTTTGAACAAATCCTTGTACTTGACCATGTATGGAGATCGGAAAGCAAGAGGAACATTTGGGATTTCCCTTTGTGGCCTAGTTAATGTGACCATATATTAATACAAATATGAATTTTTTTAATAATGAACAAATAATTTATATAAAGAACAAATAGTAATACCTTGTATCTTTTTCCTTTGCAATCTCAGTTTTTGCCTTCTCATCTTCTCTTGATTTTTTTCTTTCCAAAGTCTTCTCTCTGTCACTAAATAAATATTGAATTATGAATGATCATTTAGTATATTGATAATGAACATTATAAATCTATACACATGTAAAGACCATTTACCTTTGTCCTGTTGTGTTTTTGGAAATTTGAATCTTCTCTGTTTCAATTTCTTTTGAATCCTTTTTTGTCTCACTGAATATAAATATAGTATAAATGATTATTCAGTTTAATGTAAAAGAACATGTATATGTGGAATAATCATTTACCTTTCCTTCACATTTGAAGCATATATCTGTTTCTTCTTGTCTTCTCTGAAATATTAATCATGGTTAGTAATGAAGAGTAATTAATATAAAAAAAACATTATTCTCCTTTTTTGAACAATAAACACTTAAAATATTACTAAAACATTTAAATTAAAATACATAATTTACATATCTTAAATTGTGCATTCCTACCCTAAAGCAAAATATTCCCTTCTGATTTTATAATACATATCCATTACTAACTTCATAAACAAAAACTGTCTAAAATAATTACACTTTATAACCAAATTTATTCTACATGTCCATTCAAAATTATATATTTTCTAACAAGATAGGTCTTCCATGTTTACCCCATGCTTCCTCCTTTCTTGTTTGATTTATCAAGGATATCTTCCATACTTGAACATGCTGGAGATTTGAAGATTGTAGAAATATCTCCAGCAGCTTCCCTATTTTCAGTTGGTGTCTTGGGATCACCAACTTTTGAATCAGATGCTGCAAACAAAATACATGAAAAAAATTTAATATAACTAGAAATGAACATTATACTTAATAATTTGATCATTTATTTGTAATATGTGAACATTGTACCACTCTTTGAATTTCCTTCAACATTTTCTTCTAATGCTTCAGATTTTGAACCTTCACCTTTGTTTAATGCTTTTTGTATTAATTTGCATTCACACATATATAGACTTAGTATCATTAAAGAAGAATATCTTACAATCACAAATATTCATTTAATACTATATAAGTGAACTTTTTACCTTTTTTTGAATTTCCTCCATCTTGTGGTTCTTCAGAATTTGAACCTCCAACTCTTTCTGTTGATTTAAAATATATGAAATTGTTAATGTAAATGAACATTTGTTATTCTGAATATATACTTTTTTGAATATTTAGACTAAACAAACTTATTATTTTATAAATGAACATTATACTTTTCATAATTGTACATAGATATTAAAGCTTTACCCTCTTCTGGCTTAGAAGAAACATTTGCATCAGTTGTTGTTGAAGTTGTGGCTGCAACATTAATCTGTGCTTCTGTGTTCAAATAAATTAAATTTTAATTCTTTAACTATATTATACTCTTTAAGTAAGGATATTCAAATTAATGACAGTTTTTAATTAAGCATATTTACCAGTTGTTGGAGTTGGGGGAGTTAAGTTGCAACCCAAACTGAATGCCTTCCTTATATCATATTCCTTCTCATTTCCTATTTTCTTTTTTTCTGCTTCACTTGCCTCCATCAGTTCCTTCTCAATTTGAGCTATGGCATTCAAAAAATCCTCTGATCCAAATATTTCTTCATCTTGGCTGAGAATTGATGGTTCTCTTGCCATCTTTCCCAACACTTCATCTACCTTCTTGACCAACTGATTCCCAGGGAAGAGCTCTTTTGCCTTAACCAATTTGGTAGAAAGTCTTGCCAAAGATGCACCAACTTCTTGTACCATTGATGCAAATTCATTCATAAAGACCTGTCATTTATAGAACATATAAGAAAAATCATATAAGACATTATGTGTTTTGATATTGAACATTTCATAATTTATAAATGATCATTTTGTACCTTAGGATTGTCTGCAGGCTTTTCTTCTATTCTTGGAAGGACTTTTCCATATCCATAGTTCAAATCATTTTCTGTTTTTATCTTTTCAAGTGACATATCCCTTTTCCAACAAGAAATTATTGGAATTGTTCTTGGTTGTTTTTTGTTCAATCTTTGAACTCTGTCAAAGTAGAACAGCTGCACCAAAACCCATTACCATAAATGAACATATAATATAATACAAATGAACAATTAATATAAAAGATTAAAATGTTAGACGAAATCGATATTTAACATTTTGTTAATGAACATTCATTGTTACTAAAATGAACATTTTATAATTTACTATTGTGTGTTGTAAACTTACCATCAGAAATTGCAGTGGTCCATTGTAGAATCCTTTTCCTCCACTCTTTCTCCATGTCACATGGCAACTGATGAGAGAGTCAAACACGTACTGACACCAATTCAAGTTTTTTATTTTTTCTTTGTCCATCATAGAAAACAGAAACTTGAAATGGCATTGTTTGTTTGAAATACACTTCATCAAACAATTCACAACAACTACCAAAAAGTTGGTGAGAAAATCTTCTTCTGCTGGCCTTTTGGTTTTTGAATTTATCACTTGTATATTGAGCAATAATTTGGTTTACAGATGGTGTTTTGCCTTGCCATTTTGACCTCCAATTTTTTATAAATACACCAAAATCTTCACTTGCTCTGTCTGATTTGGCTTCAACAATGGGAATGTCTCCCATTGGCAAACCATATACAATTCTCACATCCTCCACCTCAATTTCAATTTTCTCACCTTTAGGCAGCTCAAAACTACAACTACTGACTTCAAAGCTATCTAAAACCCAATGGCTGAATTGTTTGTCAAGCTGAGGAAGTTCTATATCCAACAACGGCCCCAGTCCTATTTCATGCACTAATTTCTTCTGTGTATCACTCATTTTCTTAACCCAATGCATGAATTTGACATGGCCTCCTCTTGTCGAACTTCCAACTTCCTCTTCATTCTTTTCTTCCTTCTCTTCTTTTTTTTTAGCCACTGAAAATTCAGTTTTCCTCTTCACAATCTTTTTTATTGGTTCCCTCTCATACAGAACCATTCTTTTTTCTTCAGCTTTTGGTTTTTTCAATGTTGTTTTCTTTTCTTGAACTACTTCCACCTCCTCAGTTTCTTCATCTTCTTCTTTTTCAGCATCAAAAGTTGGATCCTCACTGTCTGATCCACTATCAGTATTACTTTTATCATCTTCTTCATTTTCCTCCTTTGATTGTTCTTCAATGATTTTTGTTTTCTTCAAAGGGCCTTTAGCTGATGCAGAAGGCCTCTTCTGGCCACCTAAACATTTGATCAATTATAATATGTAAAATGAACATATATATATGAAAGTGTAAATTGCTAGTTTGTATTTGAACATTTAACTTTATTAATATGTACATTACCTTTTTGTTCTACTTTTTTAAGAATTTTCTTTTCTGCAGGAGCAGAACTTGTTGCAGGGACTTCTTCTTGTTCTTCATCCTCTGATGGTTCATTATAAGGCACTTGATCTATGACTTTTCTTATTTTTGCAGGAATTTTGGCTGATGCAGCAGGTCTTTTCTGACCACCTAATTATTTGATCAATCACATTAAGTAAAATAAACATTTTAAAAGTGTAAGATTGTAATTGAACATTTATTGTTTTAGATATGTTCTTTTACCTTTTTGGCCTGCTTTCCCAATAACTGCAGCCCTTGTACGCCCTGTTTTCTCAACAGGTTTCTCTGCAACTGCAGTTGTAGCCCTTGGACGCCCAGGTTTTTTGGGTGTTGTTGCTGCTGGTAGGTTTTCAACAATTGCTGCAGCAGCTGTTGCTATAGCTGATATGCCAGGCAACTTAACATCTGCAAATAAACATTGTTATATAAATATTAATATAGTTGTAATATTTTATTTAATATGATCATTGTTATATTAGAAATTGTACATTTTATTTACCTCGTGATTTACTTCTTGTTCTTCTTGCTGGTGATTGTTCATATTCCTGTTTTTTCTGATTTTCTTCCAATTATTTTTTCTTTTGATTTTTCCTTGCAACCATTTTCCTTCTTGGTTGCTTTGAATTTTGTGAAGATTCTTCACTCTTTTGAGACAAATTTAACTCTTCAACAGGTTTTATACCTCTCAATATTCTTGTCAACTCCTCATCCCTTTGCAATTCTTCTTGTCTTTCCAATTCTTCTTCTGTTTCATCCTCAATCTCAATTTCTTCACCACCTATACATTTAGATCATTACAAATTGGTAAATGAACATTTTCAGTATAAGTGTTATTGATTAAAAAATTTAATATTTAATTTAACAATTATGTACATTACCTAATAGGATTTTTTTAATTTCAGCAGGGGCCTTCTGTTGTGCATTTGCAGAACTTGCTGCATGGGATTTTTCCGCAGCAGAGGACTTTTCAGTAGTTGTAGCTGGGGCCATTTCAGCAGCAGTGGCTTTTCCAGCAGTATCAACAGTTGTAGCAGGGGCCTTTTTAGCAGCAATGACCTTGCTAACAGGAGCAGTTTTCCAGTTTTTTGTCAGTTTTTTTAGTATTCCTTGAGTTGACACTTTTAATTTTTTCCTGGCAACAGATAATTTATGATCAATAATATTGTCAATGTGGAATAGAAACATTTAATAAGTTATATATGTTCATACTTTTGCATTATGTATGAATGTGTTTCTTCAACTGCTGCTGGAGGTTCATCCTCTTTTGGAGGCTCTTCCTCTGCTGGAGGCTCATCCTCTGCTATAGCCTTCACTTGTTGTGTAGGCTGATCCTTTGTTGTAGCCTCTTTTGGAGGCTCATCTTCAGTTGATTGATTTCTGAAAATTAAAAATTGAAAATGATTAAAAATGTTTATCAACTAATATGAAAATGAACATTAGTTGATTTCTGAAAATACCCTGCTGCATCCTTTTTTGGTTGTAGTTGTTCAACCTCTCTTGTGTCTTTCTTAGGTGATTGATTTCTGAAAATCAATTAATTTCAAATAATTAAAAATGTTTATTAAGTAATATGAAAATGAACATTATGGGAATCAAATACCCTGTATTCACTAATTCTGATCCAGCCTTTTCTTGTTGTAGGTGATCAGTTTTTGCTTCCTCTTCAGTTGTTTTTTTTTTCTGAGAATGTAAATCATTAGATTATGTATGACAACTAAGAAATAAATGAACATTAAACACATTGAGGTAGAATATACCCTTGATTTGTTGATGCATCATCTATTTTTGAAGTTTCCTTCTCTTGTTCACTGAAATTTTTCGAATGTTAATACATAAAAGTATGATTATATAACTGTATAAAAATTAATTATTGAATTTTTATTTAGTATTTATACCTTATTGATTGATTTTTCTCTGGCCTTGATCTTGACATTATAAATTTCACTTTCAACTTTTTTGGTTCACTAAAATTTTACAAATTATTTCAATTATGAGATTAAGTATTGAAGTAAATGATTGTACATTAAATATTACATATATGAATATTTGTAAGTATATCAACTTACTTGGGATGTAGGTTGTCTCCTAATAAATAGGGTTCCCACTTTTTTATAACTTCATTTCTATCCAATTTGTTGTCTATTTCAGAACATTCTTTTCTCTCATGAATTATAGGATAAGGATTGAACATTCCATTGTCAAATTGCATCAAGTGTATCACTTTAAATGGTACATCACTACAATGTAAATTAATATTGTAAATCATAAAAATTGACATGATGTTTCTATGTTAGACAAATGTACAGAATAGTTCATATAAATGATCAATATAGTTGTAGCAATGAACATTTGTATACACATATATGGATATATATAACATAATATGAATTTTGACAATATAGTGTTTTGTAAATGTTCATTTTACTACACAGATGAATAAAGTATATGTTTTCTATTTGTACAAAATGGAATTTAGACATGAACAATTAATATGTCAGTAAATGTATACACATAAATTTAGAAATGAACAATTTAGAAACAAACATAAATTGCATGCTGTACACATAATATACAAATTTGAACATATGTATACATATATATGCACACATATATGCACACAATCCAATTTGAACATATACTGTTTTGTATTTGTTCATTATATTTCACAATACTATACTTTATATTTTTTTTGGTTGATCATTTAATCAAAATTACGCATACATTCCAATATTAACAGTAACTTGTTTAAATTTTTATTATCGTCTCAGAAATAGAGGAAAATTATGTTTATTTTGAAATTAAACAGTAACTTGTTTAAATATGAGCAAATTTAAATAAATTTATGCTTATAATTCCAAAAAAAATAGTAATACTTACTTTGATTGTTCTGGAACTCCAGTATTTTCAATTTTTTTCCTGAAGCATTATCAAAAAGAAAAAATACCAAAAAATTAGGGTTTTGTTTCGCAATTTTCAATTAATTTTACACTAAACATGTAAAACATACTTACTCATTAGATTTTTGGTTTGTTGTTGTTGAAATTTGTCGAGATTGTGCAATTTCGTCTCTTATGTCGGACATTTTAGACAATTTTACTTGCTAATTGCATGTACGAAAATGGAATAGAGAGAGAAAATGGAGGTTGAGTGAGAAATTGGAGAAAGAGGATGAGAAAGAAAAATGTGATTATTTGAAAAGTTTTTTTTTAATTATACATATATATGGGTGGGGTAGTGGGAAGTTACTGGCAGTTTTAGAAGGAAGTTACTGGAATGTGTGGTACGCATCGTTTAGGGGGGGTGTAGGGATAAATGGCTAAACTAGAGTCTAGCCATAAACAATTACTTTTAGAAAAGGCTCATAATAAGAGTTTTTTTGCAATTAACTTATTGAAAAATTAGATTTTTAGGTAAAGGTGGGCATCGGCCGTGCCGGCACGGGCCCGACACGGCACGATCCCTCGGCCTACCGGCACGGCCCACCAACACGGCCCAAACAAATGTATATATCGATTTTTTTATATATACATATATATTTTTTAGAAAAAAATAAAATACCAGGGTGGCCCGCTGCCCGGCACGGCCCACCAGGCACACATGTCGTGGGCTAGGGTGTGCCAAAAATTGGCACGACATGGCACGACCCGCCGGGAAACAGGCCTGGCACGAGCCCTCCCTAGGCACGGCCTGACACGACACGGCACGATGCCCATGTTTATTTTTAGGTATTAAATACATTGAAACAACTAATAATAAAAAGCTATTTACCAAGCACTTTTACACAATCTGTTGTTTACAACTAGCTAGTCAAATAAGCTAATATAACCAACTAATCAAACTAGTCATTACAATCATCTATATCAATAAACTATTAGCTAATTACCAAACAAAATCTTGGTAAAACAACCATGGAAGATGAGTGATAATAAATTTTGTAGTCACTATTGTTTAGTTGACAAAAAGACATGAAAAATTGAAATACTTAGGAATTAAAATTCTTTTGTGTTGTTTGATTGACACATATATGAAAACTTCTCATAAAATGGAGGAATTTAATTATTTACGGTTAGTGAGACCTGGATAAGTGGATAGGAATTTTCATTTTCCATGGTTAAACAAAATTTGGCATTTCTTAGAAATTTCAATTACATGGAAATATATATAATAAAAAAAATTAAATGGAAATATTTCAAACAATTTGCATTTCCAACTTTTAACCAAACAAAAGATTATAAAACATTGACAAGCATTAAAATCATACGAAGAACTTCGTATCGTGTGTTACAGTTGATAAAATAAAGTAAAATTAATAATAAAAAAAAAGAAATTATCTAATAAATTTAAAATCATCATAGTAATAGCTCTAGTATTTTAAAAGATTTTTAGTTTTTACTGATAATAACTCTAGTATTACGGTATTAATTAGATTTATGTTGTATGCTTAAGTAGAGGGTTAAGAAGATGGCAAATTAGCAGGCCTATATCTCATCCAAGGCAACCGCAATGCTTGCCCAAGGCCCGGCCCACGGACAAAGAAGGCCCAAATTATCTTAGATTTGAAGTGAAATAGAAGATAGATCTATGTTACAGGGAGTAAACATGTTTTTTTAAAAAAAAAGGAATTGAATGTTTCGTGCAAGGCCTATATCTCATTAGGGTGAACAATAATACTGAAAAAATAAAAAATTGAAATATTAAATTTGAGGCAATCTCATCTCATCAAGTGTAGATTTAGTATATTTATATAATCAGCAAAACATTAGTACTAGTAGTAACTAGCTTGCAAGAAGAAGTTGTTATATATACTTGGATGTTCCTATAATACAATCTTTTATTTTTCATATAATTTTATTGACAATACAATCTTGAATTTACTTCGTATTATTTAAGAATGACACATGCCCTTTTTTACAAAATTCACACTTATGGAATTATATTTTCTGATCACATTTAAACATTCCTATAATATAGTCAAGGATCTTCCTATAATATTGTCAAGGATCTTGAGGGCCTTGTATGATTTGTATAGGAAGGATATAAATCATATTCCTAAAAAAAAAAGTATATAAATCATATAATTTGCATATCTTGATTGTATTTTCTCTTTCGACGGATGCAAGTTATTTTGTAAATGATTATGAATCAGGTCAATTAAAATATTATGGTTATTTAAGATCCATGTTTTATCGGATATCGCGAGTGATCATTTGAGTTTGGATATTGTGGTGAATGAGGAAAAAAATGCTTGTATTATAATTTATTTTATATTTGCCTACACGCGAATTAGAATGAAACTTTATACATCATTCTAGTACCACTCTTATGAGTTTCATACAATAGATAATCATAATACTTTTTTGTTCTTTTTTATTTAGCATGCATGATTTGGAATCTAAACCTAGTCATATATATGCTATAGGAAAAAAATATTGTCACTCTAGATCTTGTGAGATTCATTTTATCAAATAGTTAACTTTTTATAATTATTAATAATTAGTATATAATGTTTGGGCAAGGAAAATGCCCACTATCTAGTATAGTGTGCATTCTTAGGTGAAATATTAAGAAAATAAATAGTAATGCCAATGTGGCAATGTATATACTGTAGTATATAATTTGAGGATATGATTATGCATTAGCATTTCTCAATTAAATCAATGTTATGTAAGGTTTCAAGAGAAATTTGCATTAATACCCTTAGTGATGTAATAATAAAAGTTATTTGGTGATAATAATAGGCAATGCAAAATCATGGTAATAAGAAAACATAAACGAAATCCATTTAGAAATATATCACTTTAATTATTTGTTTCATTTAATATTTTGTCTTCCTAATTCATAATTTTATTGTATTTAACAACTGACTAAAGGATATGTATTAGTCACTAGCATAGCCTAAGCATAATTCCCCCAAGCTAAATACTTCGTATACAATAATGTAGCCTATGTTTTCAAAAAAAAAAAAAAAAAAAGAATGTTGCCTATAACATGGTACTCCATAGTCCAAACAAGTGTACAACTCACATACAATGTTGTTAAACTAAAGCCTTCTTTAGTTCTTATTTTATTTCTTACAAATAAACGTATCAATTTCATGTCACGTTGGACTTGGCTCATGTTGCGACATATTCTATATACTCGTGAGTAATAAGACCATGATCTGAGTCCAGGTAATCATGGTGCCATGCCATCAATGGACACGTAGCATGGAAGTTCAAATACTACGAGTTGTAAAATAGTAAAACACTCACTACGTATGAGGCGAGTGAATTTTCAGAGCAAGTCTGACAGACAGTAATAATAATAAAAAAAAAGTAGCTAGGGTTTGAAAAGTGTAAAATAACACCTAAAGTCTAAAAGTCAAAACTCTGTTTAATGTTGACTAAAAGTCAGCAGTTCACCACTCACCATCTCGATATATAGTCAGCCGTTGCTAGAATTGTAGAACATAATACTCTTTCTTTCTTTTTATTTTCTTTTTCTTTCTCCCACTCTCTGTTCTAAGCTTACACAATGGCCGGGAATAATGGTGCCACTTCATCTAAACGCAACTACATTAGGTCACTCAAATGCAAAATTGCGGATTTGGAAGGTCAATTGATGGTGATGATTAACAATCGTCGGGAAACAGAGCGAAAATGTCATGAATTACAATTTGAACTTGATGAGGCTAAGGCCGAACTATCTGAGTGCAAGAAAGTGGGTAAAAAGGACCGAGGTCGTAAAAGGGCTAGGGTTGACAGCAATTGCGATGCTGTGATTATTATTGAGAGCGACAACGATGATGAGGGTCTGATGTTGGGATGAG